ATCATATCCAGCACCCTTAGTGGAGTTTGGGAGGTCGGCTATGATTTTGTAGGTAGTGGATCTGGGTTTCATTTAGTAAATGTAGTCTTTTTCAGACTTTAGGCCACACGTGGTATAACAATACTGAATGTCAGTTAAAGTGATCCTGGCCTTTTCTCGGCGTATCAATTCGATTATGCCATTAATAACCCTATATGAGTTAATGGCAAGTTGCATGGGGTTAAGTTTGTAGTAGTGAAGGACCTCACGAAAAAGAGTGTCTAAGGGGAACCGAAGTCCACACTCTATAAAGGCAACTACAAGGAAGGGCATAGAGTCTCTATCGGACATAATGGAATCCTTCTCCCCAGCTAACCTAATCTGGACATCAGTTGGGATAGAAAACTCTCTCTTAAAGTGCTCAAGTTTTTCTGGGGTATCTACCCTCCACCTAAACATACCCATTGTCTTGGCTAAAAGTGGTTGGACAACAAATTGATGGATATAGGTTTGAATACCTCGGCTAAAACCTAAACAAGGACTTGTACAAGGGTTTTTGAAGATCTAGAGGGACTTGTTTCGATTTTCCTAAAAAAAACAAGGTTCTAAGGTAAATCCCAATCCTAGAAACTACAGAAATAGGGATTGAGGGAAAAATCTGGAAATACAACAAGAAAAGCAGAAAAAAGGAGCATGATTCAGAAATCAAGAAGACAGCCAAGATTCAAGAGTCAGGAAAATCATAAATTTGCAGAACAATGAGTGAATGTGTGCAAGGCAATGCGCAAAAACTGGAAGCAATACGCACACTCTCAAATTCAAGAAAAGATTATGTTATGGTAAACAGATTCCAGAAATGTTGACCAAAAATGAAGATAGAAACAGAAGACAACTACAAATGCATAAACAGATTCCACAAAAACAGGTGTGAAGTGAAACGTATAGCAAAATTCAAAAGGAAGTCATATGAGCATGGCTAAGGGTAGTAAACTACAATGGAGAATTAAAATAAAAAGGAATCGGAGGACTTACCGATTGAAGCCGGAGTGAGATACGCCAGAGTCAGACAATGTGAGCGATCAAAGTCAAATAATGAGTGGTGTGACGACGGTAACGAAGAATTCAGTTGCAGAGAGCTCATGAATGCAACAATGGAAGATTTGGAAATGTTAGAGAGAGAGAGTCTGAGAGAGACTAGGCAAATTGAATTCGTGAAAGTGAAAAGGCAGAGGGAGGAGAAAGAGTTTTGGTAAAACTCGAAATGCGGCAAACCATAATAAAATGCCTTGGACGACGTGTTTGTCAAGCGGCGTGCGCAGAAGCGACACGACCTGATAACGTGTGTCAGGTACGAACTAATAAAGAAAGGACGCGTGGTGGAAACGATTGAGAAAAACCGTGCATGACGGCTCATGAGCAGGTACAACTCTTAGAGTTCTTGATTTAATGAAGCGAAAAGCTCGGCTGGAGGAACGATCTCGGTTTAGGAACTCAAAGAACTTGGTTCTTGAGCCTTGGTCATTGTTAAAGATGGACAGCTGAGTCCTGAACACTTGAAACCAACGAGTCATGATCTCGATCGAAAGTGAAGAATGAATTTTAGCTAAAATAAACATGCAAATAGGCGATATAGGTTCCATCATCTCGGGTTGCCGAGGTAATAGAATCTAAGGGATAGTTATGGGGACATATTTTGTGAAAGACAGCATGTGACCAAGGTAACACAGAAATGTCAGCCGAGGTGCCATGTGACTTGATCCTGAAGCCGAGGTGATCTCGGCTAAGCCGAGGTTACCTGCGGGGATGCCAGAATTCGAGATGAGCGGATAAGGGGTAAGAGTCCTAGAACAGGAGAGGATCTCAGTCTAGACAAGGATAAGGCTCAAGAAGGATGAGCATTGAGTTTGAGTCCACTGAGGTGAGGCTTCTACAGGGATCAAGTCAGTGTTGACTATAAAAGTAGAGCACCCTCATGGGTCTGAGGTAAACTCTTTCTTGTGAGTTTAAGCACAAATTGCTATCTTTGAGACATATTGATTATTGACTTGATCGTCAGAGTGTCCCTGGATAGACGAACTACCGTCGGATTCTTATCTTTCCGCAACTGGTTGTTCGTGCTTAGTCTATTCTGCCGGTACTCTCCAACTAAGTTCCCCGTTTGGTTGTGTGGTCAAAAATCAACACCCACAAATTTTTTGGCCATTTATTTGAAAATAACAATACAACAAATAGCAATTGATTTGTGACAGTAATTATTAAAAATTTAAAAACATTTTAAAACAAAATTGTTTAAAAAAAATAATTCCAACCAAATATACAATCAAAAGTCATTTTAAAGCACTAATTGCATATTTATTTTGAAAAAAAATAAATTTTTTGTTATAATATTTTCAATTAAAAAAATTTATGTTATTTTTTTCAATAATTAATTTTTTTAATTGAATTTTAAAAAGAGTTTAATTATGACTTTTAAACAGAATTTTTTACAAAATTTTGAGTTGTGTATTTGGTTATAAGTTATAACTTTTTAAATTAAGTTTTGAAAACTCTTTTCAATACTCATAACAAAATAATTTTTCTCATTTCATATACCACATCAAAAATTCATCACTCAATTTAAAACTCTTTTTAAAACTCATAATAAACAAATTTTTTATTTTCAAATCATAATTCAAACACTTAGGTATCGTTTGGTAACATTTACGTTTTTTGTTTATATTTATAAAAATTTTATAAACTGGTGTTTGTTTATTTTTAGAAAAACATAAATTACAAACGTGTTTGGTTTGAACAAAATGTTTAAAAAAATTTAAAAACATAAACTAAAAAATATGTTTGTTCATGCCTAAAATATTTATATTTATTTTTATTATTTATGACAATGGGATCACACGCATTATAATTGAAAAAAAAAATTAATTAAAAAAATAATTTGAAAAAAAAATTAATTGAAAAAAGTTTATTTGAAAAAATAATTAATTGAAAAAAAAAATTATTTGCAAACTGAAAACGTAAACTCAAATTTCCTCAAATTTATAAACTGAAACAACCATTTATAAACTAAAAAAATTATCAAACAAGCTTTTATGACAATTTTTAAAATTTTTGTAAATATAAATTAAAAATTAAAAACGGAATGATTACCAAACAGACTTTTACAAACTAAAATAACAAAAATGACTGGTAGCTCAAATTTTGTTTGGCTCGAATGGTCCGAACTGCTCAAAACGACGTCGTTTTCGGCAGTTTTTTTTTTTCTTTTCTTTTTCTTCTTTATTTCTTTCCTTTTCATTCTTTCCCCTTCATTCTTTTGAACACAGAGACAAAGAGGGAAGAGAAGAGGAGGGAGAGGGAGAGAGAGAGAAAGAGAAGAGAAGAGAAGGAAGATCGGTGATGGCGGTCGGTGATAGCGGTTGATGATCGGCGGTGATGGCGGTCGGTGAGGATGAAAGGGATTTTTTTTTTTTTTGTTGATGATGATGATGATGATGTTCAAAATCTGAAACTGTTCAAAAAAAAATTTTGATCTGGATGATGGCGGTGCAAAAAATTCTGTTCTGTATATTTATTTATTTTTTACTTGTTCCGGATCTGAAAAAAATAAACAAATAAAAGTTTTTGATGATGATGAATCTGAAAAAAAAGTTGTTCTGTTCTGTATATTTTTTTTTTAGTTTTGAATCTGGATCTGAATATGTATATATATATATATTTTTTAACAACTTTTTTATACAGAGGGAGAGAATTTGAACATCATCATCCGTTGCTCGAATTTGAATCTGATGAAGGGAAACAGAGAGGGCATAGGAACCAGATCTTGTTAATTGAAGATGATGTTCAAGATGTTCATCATCATCAAAGTTTTTTAACAAAATTCGCTCCCTCAATTTGAATCTGAATCTGAGCAACGGATCATCATCATTAATTTCGTTTTGGTTCAAAATCAGATCATCATCATCAGATTCAAAAAATCTGATGTTAATTGAAGATGATGATGATGTTCAAAATCTGAAGATGAAGGGAAAAAAAAAATGTTGAACCAGATCTTGTTGTTGATCTGCAGAACCAAATTTTTTTTTTTTATTGATGTTGATGAACCCATTTTTTTTTTTTTTTTGTTGATGTTGATCTGGATTGAAGATGAAGGAAAAAAAAAATTCTGTTGATGAACCCAGCAGCCAAACCTTGCTCCTCCTTCTTCTTCATCATCTTCAGAAAAAACACAGAAAAAATTAAAATAAAATAAAAAAACATCAAAACGACGTCGTTTTGGTGTCGAGCCAAATTCGAACCTCCGAATTTCGAGTTACGAATCGGAACGGCTAAAATAAACCCCACATTCAAATAATAATTCTAAAACTATCAAACGTGACCTAAATTTCTTTGGTAAAATTTTACCATTAGTTGAATTAACGGTGATTATTCAAGCTTGAATTTCATTTCTATATAAACAAATTTTTTCAGTTGATTATAAACAATATAAGCAATTTAAATCACTTGAGAATTAATCTTCAATTGGTGACAGATCTGGACTCCCAAACTTTTTTGGGGTAAAAATAGAAAGAAGATCCAAGTCCTCGACTTGATATTTCTATTTTTTTTTTCTTATTTTTTTATTTTTGTGGTGAGCAATAATAGAATAATTTATTTACTTTTCAAACATTTTTCTATGCACTTTACCACCTTATAACTTTAATTTCATGTTTTTAATAAAGAAATTTAATTTATTCACTTTTCAAACATTTTTTTATGCACTTAACCACCTTATATTTTTAATTTCATGTATTTAATAAATAAATAAAAATTCTTGATAAAATAAAACTTGGGCCTAGAATTTCAGATAAGCAACAACTACCATACTTTTGATTGCATAAAACAACTATTATAACATAGTACAATTTTATTTATCAGCCACAACAGGGCCACCGAAATCACAACTAGTTTTCACAGAAACATCGCACAAAATATGATTACCAACAACTACGTTCATAATTTTGTTTGCATAAAAACTAGTAGTATAGTATAACAAAGCACAATCTCATTTATCAGCCACAACAGGGCCATCGAAATCACAACTAGTTTTCACAGAACCATCACACCAAATATGATTACCAACAACTACGTTTATAATTTTGATTGCATAAAAACAAGAATTATAACAAAGCACAATTTTATTTATCCGCCACAACAAGGCCACCGAAATCACAACTAGTTTTCACAGAAACATCACACAAATAAAACCATTGAATCTTCAGAAACCACCACGGAGACGCAGCACAAGGTGAAGAGTCGACTCCTTCTGAATATTGTAATCGGCCAAGGTCCGACCATCTTCAAGCTGTTTTCCGGCGAAGATCAACCTCTGCTGATCAGGTGGAATCCCCTCCTTATCCTGAATCTTCGCCTTCACATTATCAATTGTGTCCGAACTCTCCACCTCCAAAGTAATCGTCTTCCCAGTCAAAGTCTTCACAAAGATCTGCATACCACCTCGAAGACGCAACACAAGGTGGAGAGTCGATTCCTTCTGGATATTGTAATCGGCTAGGGTTCGGCCGTCCTCCAGCTGTTTTCCGGCGAAGATTAGACGCTGCTGGTCCGGCGGAATACCTTCCTTGTCCTGGATCTTGGCCTAGGTGGAATCCCCTCCTTATCCTGAATCTTCGCCTTCACATTATCAATGGTGTCCGAACTCTCCACCTCCAAAGTAATCGTCTTCCCAGTCAAAGTCTTCACAAAGATCTGCATACCACCTCGAAGACGCAAGACAAGGTGGAGAGTCGATTCCTTCTGGATATTGTAATCGGCTAGGGTTCGGCCGTCCTCCAGCTGTTTTCCGGCGAAAATCAGACGCTGCTGGTCCGGCGGAATACCTTCCTTGTCCTGGATCTTCGCCTTGACGTTGTCGATCGTATCGGAGCTTTCGACCTCGAGAGTGATGGTTTTTCCGGTGAGAGTCTTCACGAAGATCTGCATTCCACCGCGCAGGCGGAGAACGAGATGGAGAGTCGATTCCTTCTGGATATTGTAGTCGGCTAGGGTTCGGCCGTCTTCGAGCTGTTTTCCGGCGAAAATGAGACGTTGTTGGTCTGGTGGAATTCCTTCTTTGTCCTGGATCTTGGCCTTGACGTTGTCGATCGTGTCGGAGCTCTCGACTTCGAGAGTGATCGTCTTGCCGGTGAGGGTTTTGACGAAGATCTGCATCCCACCGCGGAGGCGGAGGACGAGATGGAGTGTGGACTCCTTCTGGATGTTGTAATCGGCGAGGGTTCGGCCGTCTTCGAGCTGTTTTCCGGCAAAGATGAGACGCTGTTGATCCGGTGGAATTCCTTCCTTGTCCTGGATCTTGGCCTTGACGTTATCAATGGTGTCAGAGCTCTCGACTTCGAGAGTGATCGTCTTTCCTGTGAGAGTCTTAACGAAGATCTGCATCTGTAACAAAATTCATAACAAGATTCAGAAATCAAAATCTTCAAATCCAAATCTCAAAACTACCACAACATAAATCGAACAATTCAAAACAACAATCACAAATTAAAAAAATCTTCAAATCTCGAAAAATAAATAAATAAATAAATACAGATCTGTAGAGACAGAGAGAAGAGAAGGATATGACACCTTGGGGATTGTGGAGAAATGAATTGGAGATAAGGTTGAGGTTGGTGATTGAATTGTGAGGAGAAGAGGGTATGGGTGTGGGTTGTATTTGTAGCGAAGAGTGACGGAGATACCTAATTAACGGGTCCAATCAGATTGAGACACGTGTAATATGTGAGCTGTCTTTGCATAAACTAAACGGCAAGGTTTGGAAGTTTGGGATTTGGAATCCAAGAATAAAGACGAGGAAGAGACCCGGAAGTAGGCTTGGTGACGGACTCTAAACTTGGAAGTTGGAATATAAAAAAATCACAAAAATATTTGACAACACCATAAAATTTTTTTAGGTTGAATTTAGATATTTTTTTTAGAGATAATGTTATCAGAGCATCTCCAACCCTAAACTTCTTTTGTTATTAAATTTGATAAAAAAAAAAGAATGCTTTCCTCAATTTGACACCACTGGCTCCAACCAACCCTTTATTTTTATCAAATTTGTTCCGGGGACAACCGGTTGGTCGACCGACCGGTAAAAGAATTTTTTTTTTGAACTGTTTGAACCCTGTGGTGGTTGACCGGTTGGTCGACCGGTAAGGAAATTTTTTTTTTTTTTTAACTGTTTGAACTTTTTTTTGGAACTGTTTGAACCCTTTTATGGTCAACCAGTTGGTTAACCGGCTGGTCGACCGGTTCGTCTTCCCCAACGGTCATGTACAGTGTTTTGGTGAAATACGGAGCCTGTCCTCACTTTGATGATTTGTTTGATGAATTCTGAATTTGATACCGATTTGGTGAAATCGTTAGAGCATGAAAAAATGATTTTTTCTCCAAATTTTAAATTTGATGACAGGTTTGGTTCAGGGTTGGAGATGGTCTTGTGGGAAAGATTATGATACATTTCATCAAAAAGTGTATACTATATATATTTATATTTAAAGAAAAAAATAATATAAATCTATATTTTTTTTAGTTATAATTTAAAAAAAAAATCACAACTAAATATCGCATGAACCATAATTAAAAATCTCACGAGTTATAATTAAATAAAAAATTACATAATTAAAGATGTATATGATATACATGTTTCAAAAAGTGTGCATAGTAAAATTTTCCTATTACAATATACACGTATTTTCCGTCGTAACCGCATAAATCATATTCAAATACTTTTGAAACACAACTAAAGATGACTTTAATTATAATCAAAATTACAATAAAAATACACATGACATAATCAAAACCACAACGTAATATAAGAATCATAATCAAGCATCACTTAAGCTATAATTAATGATCTATTCGATTATAACCAAAATAACAACAATAATGTGGTATTTTAGGAAGTTTGTAAAAAATTGATTTTTTGGCTTTTTGATTTTTTTAATGATTTTTTTGACAAAAAACTAAATTGTTTTGAATAAAAAAATTGATTTTTTTGACTAAAAAAATTGAAAAACCAAAAAGTTGACTTTTTTGGCAACTTCCAAAAGACCCCATCTTATAACAATATCATAACCAATATTAGAATAAGTTATAATTAAGTCACAAATAATACTACAATGAGTCATAAACAAAACTCACAAATATCATAAGAAAAATGTTAGAGACCTACAATTTAGACTCCTAAATTCACCAACAATGATATGATAAGATAGTAGAACCCTATATAATTGAGTGTATAATTGATTGTGCGTCAAATCAAGAGATTCTTTTAGAGATTTTAAACATTTTTCATATCATAATTGGCTTTTTTTTAATTAAAATTGATGTACTTTTTAATATTTTCAAGATTTTTTTTTACCTCAATTCTAATATTAATCAAAGCCCTCATAGATAAAAATGTTAAAAAAATTTATTGATTCCAATAAAATGTATTTTGTGTTATATTCTTTTATTATTTTTTCTTGTGTCTTAGAAATATTTGTTAGCAAAACTCGCTCTTTAGATAGAAAATGTACATTTTTTTTTTGGGAACATATACCTTAAGAGTACAACTTAATAAAATTCATCATCAATAAATATATATTTACCATCCAATTTATTTTCATCTTTTATTTCACTCCCATGTGTATTCAAGCACTAAATATCGTGACAAGTCATATAAGAAATGAATAATAAAATGTTTAAGAGGTGTGTGATATTCCTCTATTATTAAAGGAAAAATGTTTTAAGTCTCAAATTTTTTATAAGTATGGATCTATAAAATTACGGATCCCACACCTATAGGAGATAATACGACTCAAAATAAATTAAAAGTTAACAAGTAATTTTTAACCTACTTTCCAAAAGAAAACCTCAATAATGCTACAACATTTATAATGTTATGTTTACCCTCTCATGTCACGAAATTACATTGGTTTGATGTATGATACATCAAACTAACGTAAGGTGATTAGTGAGATGGTCAGGTTTATCCATCTCGTAATTATTGTATTTAAATTTTATATTTTAATAGATTTTTTGAATTTTAACTAATCAATGGATTGGTACGGATTGGGTCTATTTAAAAATTTAAAATCATGTCTCACCCATAAACCTAAATTTTACAAGTCAAAAAGAAAGAAAAGTAAAATCCGGTGATCTTAACATTCAAATATTCACATTAAAAAGCAAATAAATTTGGTCAAAGCATGTGCGCTATAGATGAACCCTCCCCTTCAACCCAATTTGACCCATTATTTGGACAAAGAAAGCATATGCACTTGACATTTCTCCTTCTATCCGGATTCAATCCATGTGTTATTGGGAAGTACATAGCTGAACTTGTCTAGGCCAAAGTTGACCATGGACATCCTTCTTGTGATATCGCCGGTCCCACGACCATGGGATATCTGTATACGATAGAAACAAAATGAATGTTAGCTAAAAGCAACTTGAGAAAAAAGTGGGGGATCAACAGGGAAGCAACGCTAACCTTCAGAGGAGTATGGTTTTGGAGGAAGTTCATAAGGCACAGGCAATGGAATTACTGCAGATGAATCAGTGTTCTTACTTCCTTGCCATGCTAGGGTCACAAGCTTTGATCTCTTCGCTTCAGAACTTTCTGATGATTTACTGCATTTACCCTGAAACTCCAGGAATAACAGATTTGTGGACCATTTTTTTTAATTGAAACAGAAAACAAATTGACAGGAAAAACGCATAACCAGGAGCAAAATGTAGCTGTTACCTCTGATAGATTCCCATCATCTGTACAAGAAAACACACAATCATGTTTGATCAAAGAAGGTATAAAGAGCACTCCAAGCTGAAAATATCACTTAAGTTGCGTCAAAAGATGAATCAAATTTATAATGGAAACAGCAGAAAGAAAATTTAACAATGAATAGACCATATACTCATCAAATTTCAACAAAAATGTAGAGGCAGAGATACTTCGATGTGTTTGCACACATAAATTGATTTGTTTAATTTTTTGACGTGACAAGGCAGATTAATTATGAAGCAAAAACCTCGTAAGAACGGATCATCAGCTGAGAATTGTTTTTCTGGAGTGCCCCCCAGGCAGCTTTGCTTAGGTTTGCTGAAGTTAGCAAGAACCACCTGTCAAGAGAGGAGTGAAGAACAATCTCCATGACATGGTACAATGATCTAATAATGAGGCAAAAACATCAAATTTCAACTAGTAAGAAGTCTGAGATGGACTCTTACGCAAGGTTTTGATCATTATAACGCGTGTATGTCTTTATATGAGGCATTGCACGACTGAAACATTGAAGCATTAATATGTATTAGTGCATAATTACTAACGACAATTGCAAAATGCAAATATTGAAAAGAAGCAAGAGTGCTCTTTCACAATATCATTACACTTGTAAACCAATAGAATTATACTTTATAAAAAAAGTAGATCAAACAAATTTCATTTTCTATTTGATTTACAGCAATAACAATTGCCACACTTCAAAACTAAGGAAATGAATTTACCAGCGACCAGTGTGGCTTGCTTTCCACTTTGCCCAATACTTCTTTAAGAATTCTTTCTCCACATTTTTTAGTGGGCTCGGAACCGCATTTCCAGCAGCATAACCCTGGAGAATAAGCAGGCAATCAGTGGACCAAAATTAACAAAAAAAATTTGCTCAGTGACAGCATACATGACAACTAAACATCAACAGAATAACCAGATATTAACATGCACAAGGAAAATAATAAATAAAAAACAAGTAATCGCTGAGAACATTAATTCAAATTTCTTTATGTTTCTTATGGATGCAAATTCTCAATTATATAAATTGGTGAACTGAAGTTTAAGATAAAAAAAAGATGGGATAGTCTGTTTTGTAATGAAGTTAAGCCAAGGCCTAAAAGATTTTGTAGATCATAACATTACTCTAGCAAAAATACTAGGTAAAAATTGGCAGACATTTAGAATCTACTTGATATTACCTCTAATGAACATCTGACATCTTCCACAGTAGGCCATATTATTAGGGGCTCCCCTAAACCCAGAGGCATTTTATCTTCTGAGACTCCTGATGACATTGAGGATGCTAGCTCAGACATCCACTTTTCATCCAATGAACCAAGGGAAGAGAACTGCAACAAGGTACGAATATGAAAGCATTAGGCTCCGTTTGACTAGAAAGAAAAAATGATGGAAAGTGAAAGTGATAGTAAGTAAGTGAAAGAAAATAATGGAAAGGAAAGTATATTTCCTTGCAAGCAATTGATAAGAATGAATTTTAATTATAGGTAACCCCCTGCATGGATAAATTTATAGATTTTCTTGTGTTTTCTATGTTCTTTGCAAGGAATTAAAATTTTAGTTACCATGCTAATATGAGTTCTACATAAAAAACTAACTTTCTTGTATTTCCACGACTTTCATTCTAAAGAAACTCATAACAAGTTCCATTTTTTTCTTTCCCTCACCACTACCACTTTCATCCTAAACAAACTCAGCCTTACGGACAAGATTTAGACTACCAATTTCCATTTCTAGAATTACATCCCAAAGTAATATTTCTGGGTTTTACACCAACTATCAGCTACCTAACGTGGCCAGGAATGAACACTCCACTAAGCACATTTCGGGTGAGTTTACCGGTCTCACATATCAACACAATAGCACCAAATAGAAAGACTATTCCTAAAACCACATAAGATTGAAGGACTGCCTTCAAAGCAGTCTTTTTATTGGAAGACTGCCTAATCTTTGTCTAGATGCAAATACCTGATGGTCCTATTCTTGTAGTCCTTGAACCGGATGAAAGAGATTGTGATTTTCAACTTCCCCATGTATATTCTTTTCTTACTTTCATTCATTGTTTCCTTTTCAAATACCTAGAATTTATGTTTAGTATACATACGCAGAATGGTCAGATGAAATCTGCAATGAATTAAAAGAAGGGAGATGGAATAAAACATAGCATGTATGCATAATTAATTGGACAAATATCCTGCACAAATTCAAGAGAGAGATCAGGCACTACCTGATAAACAAGAGGAGACTTGCGAAACTTTTTGTCAAAGATACATTCCTGGAGAATGGTACGCAACTTCATATGTCCCCACTTTTTCAAATTAGGACCCTTATGATATCCAGGGACAGACCCAATTAACCTAACCTACAAATTATGTAAATAACAGATTTCAGAAAATACATAATGAAAGTGCAGTATTAAGAAGATCACAGCTGTAATAGTATTTTTGTTATTCATCAGCAAACTAAAAATAAGATTGACTGACACAGTTTTAAGAAGACAATCCATAACACAAAGAATCACAATTTCAGATACTTCACTGAGTTTGGGACCCCAACGCATATATCATGGGTTTTCAGAAATATTGTGAATATAGAATTGATGAGCATGGTACTTATCAACAAAGCAGAAATCAAGAGAGTAGAAGACAAAACTGAGTACAGCACAAAGTTGTGCAAGCACTATTCCTCGTGATTCACTAGCATGCTTCATAGCCAGTCAATAAGCTATGGTAATTCTACTAGATATGGCAATGAATTTGTAGAAAAAGAAGGACAAAGCACTTATTTGAGTTCATTTATCTGAATTCTTAGGCATTAAGAATAATTGATTGGCTAAAATACCAAACATTGTGATGAGTAGAAGCCAATACCAAGATGTATTACTGGACACATCTTAATTGGCAGAATCAAACACAGCTAAGCAGAAGCCCTGTCTCAGATAAGTTATCTGAAGTAACAGATTTATGATGACAAATTACAATGCAAATCTAAGATTCCATTATGCATCAGCAAATAAGTTACCTAGTTTGTTATCATTATTATTTATTTATTTTAATGTAGCATGCCAAAATATACTATCCCAGATAATGTTTGTATCCAACAGTATCACTAACCTAAATCCTAAAGAATGGAAAAACAATTATCATAATTCTTGTGTTAATCTGTGGTTAAGGTTTTTGAAATTCATGAGGGAAAGATCCAAGAAGCACAGACACGAACATGCGACATGACCATGAAGAACAAATAATAATAAATAAATAAAAAGGATTTTCGTTTTCCTAGCTTGATTTTCAAATTTACAAACACAACACAGACATGCCAACACATCAATTTTCAAAAAATGTAGAACGTGACAAGTGGGGGACACAATATATAGTTTTAAACATTTATTGTTAGTCATATATAAGAATATTTCTTTTAAAGATAATGAAAAATGCAACATAACACTAATTTTTTAAGTATAAAGGAAGAGGGATTAACATGTATAAATCTTTATTGTTTTTTCTTTTATCATTGTGTCATCTAAGTTATTTTGTTCAAACTTATAATGTGTTTCATGTGTCCAAGCGATAGATGTGTGTTACCTTAGTGTCTAGGTCTGAAATTTGTTAAAAATAATATGACACATTTGGACATGTGTCTGACACATGTTAAGAAGTGTCCGATGAGTGTCAATCTCAAACATGACACGGACACACCTTCTTAGAAGTGTTTGTGCTTCTTAGGGAGAGATGATGCTTTTGATTTTATTGCTTTTGATTTTATTAAATCAAAACTTTACAGACTACAACAAATGAATAGCATTGACTAATTAAATAAGCACACTCTTATGTATAAAGAAGATTGATTCTACCAACTTTACGGTTCCAATGTTAACCTTTTCAATATTTCTTCCTTGTTTTCTGCTTTTTAGAATTTTTATGCATTACTTGTACATTCCTTATATTGACTAGTGTCAAATAAAATCAACCATTACCAAGGCTGAAACCAATGCTCCCTGCCATACCAAGATGAAAGGAAAACGAGAAGGTAAATATGATGCACATATGAGCATTGAAAATGAGATATTCATCAGTGTTCTCAGGCAACATCAGCAAGCATAGAGCTACATCATCTTTTAAAATTTGTAAGAAATTGCTAGAAAAGGAGGTGGTGTGTGCCATGTAGCATATGTTAGAATGCCCTATCTTCACTATCATATTGTCCCAAAAAGAAAACGATACAATTTCAGGAGACGAAAAAAAAAATAATCAAGGAACTAAACAAATACCGCTGCACTGCTGTAGTCAAACTTCTTGAAAAAGGTTGAATTGATATTGAAGTTGCCAAGAGCTGGTATATTAGCAGTAAATTCAGGCCACTGTAAACATTTAAAAGAACATCAATAATACTCTTCTGAACATGGCTCAAATGATCAATTGAGAAAATACATCTATACATACGCACTAAGAAAGTATGGTACTATGTGCCCACATTTCTCACAGGTATAGTAAATCTGATTAACTCGCAGTCCACATTTGTTTGATGGAATGTGATTAGGGGATAAGGAGATAAGTAATATGATGGATTCCACATTTTTTTATACCATGGGAATTGGGATTATTAGATGGGATTATATATACCATGGCATTATTGTACTAAATTTAGTTGGAGTAAGATGCAGCATGGAATAATATCTTGAGGATTATTTTTTACCGTTAGATGGAAGAGGGAACCTAATCTGGAGAAATAACCCCACCATTTTGTGGGAGAAATAACCCCACCAAACAAACATGGTCTATGAGTAAGATAAGCACAGCAATAACATCAGCAATAAAAAAATTTAATTAGTGAAACCCCTCCTCCCACCTGTGGACCAAAAGCACACACATTAAGAGAGAGAGAGAGAGAGAGAGAGAGAGTTTGGGAAGGTAAACTAATATGTTTTATATGACACAACAGTGTCTCTTATAATGAAACAACAGAATATAAATTAATTTCACAGCCACACGTTTCCAAGTAAAATAGCTAAAATGTAGTTTCACAACATAAATTTTTACTTTAGACTTTGGAAAAATGATATCAGTCAAAATTTCTCGTCCTCCCACATTCTTGTTCAATCTTATCATAGTTCCTAACAAATGATTGCTTCTTACTGTAAGAAATAATGTATAGAGAAAGAGAGAGAATAAATTGTATGTATTATTATTGATTGATATATTGATATTTATTACAATGATTCATGATTCCTATATATAGAAGAGGGTGAGTGTGTAGTAGGTAAGAAGTAGGTGAAGTGGAGGTGGTAGTGGTGTAGTGGGTTAGGTTTAGTGGAGTAGGTGAGGTGGTAGTGTTGTAGTGGGTTAGGTTTAGTGGAGTAGGTTTAAGTGGGTGAAGTAGGTGATAAATTTTAACACTTACATTTCCTGAGAACTAAACAAGCCCATTCCCATGTACATTTCCTTGAACTGGAGGGTTGGATACAGACCAAACTTTTGGCATCATATGCATAAAGTGGCTGCTATCATACTTGAATCCACAATCTCATGCTTAACAGACTGCGCTTTTAACACTGCATCAAGGAATGGTCCCCCACACTTGCAGAAAGCTAACGTTCATTAATTGAGGCACAGAAAACAACGAACCGCTTTCATAAAATAAGATATGAGGGATTTGTATTACAGCTCCAACAAACATACTACATTTTACTTGTAGCATAGAAAAGGAAAATGAGATGGTCATTGGGAGAGGTGGTAGGAAGTTTAGGCACTAAAAGCGAGAATAAAAGTGTGAACAGGCAATGAAGACGTATATTAGATAAAAGAGGTACTAATAAATACATATATATATATTAAACAAAAGAAGTAGAAGGAGCCCATTGTTCACAGTTAAAACTGTAGCATAATAGTAGAGAGAGAGAGAGAGAGATTTGCTGGAAGAGGAGGCACAAAACCTAATTAGGTTTCTTACCTCACTAAGCCCTTGTATTTATATTAATAAGATAATAAGTACAATGACACTAACACTCTCAAGTACATAACTTAACATTCACCAATGTTTGCACACATATTTACACCTCAAGAATGACAAAAATCCATAACTAATCATCCAAGGTTGGGTTCAGTTGATGAAAATAAAAGAAGATTTGAATGTCACAAACAGATTTGAAAATGAAAAAAGAATAGTTGAACACAAAACACCATGGCTGAATTAGCCAATTGGGTGCATATATATCACATGCATACATATGGAGAGAGAGAGAGTGAGAGTTGAATGTGAGTAAATCTAACTCTCCGACAGTTTAGCAGAGTACTAAACCCACTTTTTTCAGCAGGGGTTGCATGCCAAAAGGAGAAATGTCAATGCAGACAAGATCATTCAAAGACTTTGGGTTCTATTTGTTTGTAATTAAATAGTCAAATTACAGAATCCAAACTCTGTTGAAAACAATCCAGTAGATAATGTTTCACGAATTCAGAAATGAGGCGATATGCTACGATAGAAAGAAATGTGTAATTAATGATAAAGTACAATAGTCTGGAACCTATCAAACAGAAGAAAAATTGATAGATCATGACGTAGGCACAAGAAAAATGATGGAAACGTTTGAGATCACATTAAAGGGCAAAAAATTATCTAATACACATAAAGATTTAAAAATAATAATAAAAAAAAAGAGAGCAGTAAATGTATCAAATCATGCACACAATAAGTAGAAAGATCACTTCCACTTAAAATGATTAAAAATTAAATAGAGAAGCAGAAAATAAAAAGCAATAACAAAAATAATAGTAACCGTAAATTCTGACCTAGTGCTTACTACAACAAAAAAGCATTAGATAAATCAAAAAAAATTGTGTGAGCATCTAAACTTCAGCAGTCAAATATGATGTCAAATGTTATAGTACCTTCAACGCACTAAGATAATCAATCAGGTCACTTTCAAATCCACATCCTTTGCTTGAATTACTTCCGTCCTTCCAAGGGAAATCTTGCATCCACAGAGCTTGGCTTTTGTTGTTCCAGTCAACATAAATCAAGTTTGCTGTATGTACAATAATTCTCACTCCTCGAGGATAAACAAGAAGCATGGCTTTTGAATGGTGGGTCCCATACGAAATTGGTAATGGGGGTTTGTGCAGAATCCAATTTGCTGGCTTGCTTCTCTAGAAACATCTAACAAAATTAAAGTTCATCCACCCAATTAAAGGCTTCAAGTGCATAAATGGAGATTATTATAACTTAATCTCATGTCAAACCTTCATATGCTCCAGCGTACCATCACTCTCTCCATGAATAACCAACACATGAGGAACCTTTTTAAGTGTTGGACATGCTGCACCACAAAGGACAAAATGATCTGCTATTACAAGGTGAGGATGGGATAGGTGGGTCCATGAAAAACGTACACATGAAATTCCCCACTGCTGGAAGGGGTAACAATAAGAACTACACCTATAACCATATAATAAGAATAACCATCTAAAGTGGTCAAAATATTCATGAGATCTAAAGGAGTCCCCGAAAATATTTATGTGGGTATGTGTGTATATCATGTAAGTGTATAAATATTGATCAAGATCCTACTTTAAGTAGATCTAAAAAAAAATTATATTGAAAACAGACTTGCAACCTTAAAAGGCATAATGAATGCAATTATACCTGAACATAAAAGTGAGGAACAAAATTTCATTTCTTTTCCATTGGGATATGCTTTTATTTCTTAGGAAACCATAATGAAACATTAGAGAAATACCAAAATTCTAATGTTTCCACCGAAACATGCTAAAACACTACAAGACATTGAAAGAATAAGTAGTTTCGAAATCTACCAGTTATATCCAACAAAGGTCATTACTATTTGCTTCTTTTTGTCAAAAGAAAATATTTGAGATCAAAGGAAAATATTAAATTTATTAGAGAATCTGAAAAGCTAAAAAAGAGAAGAGAGATAGATAAAAGATAAAATAAGCATTCATTAAATCACTTATCTTCTTTGTTTGTTATTGCAAAATATTTCTTTATCAAAGATTGTCACTAGTAATTTATAATGGACAAAGCCCTCCCCAACTAGGTCCTTAAACCATTTGTTTATGAGCTTTAATATTCATGGACCTCAGCAATTTCAATTATTTAATTATTGAAAATATATATATTTATAATTTATGTAGGTTTTTAGTTTTTGTTTCCAAACATTTTTCATAAATTTCCAAAATCTTTTGCCACTTTCCTTATGTTTCCAAAATGTTTCTGAAACATTTCTATTTCCAAGCTAACCAAAACAATGTACCACAACAAAATTTTGATCCTTGCATAAAAGGCTCAGAATTTGAGAGCAATGATAAAACGAACTGTGGTTAATCAATGATATATGCACACACTAAGGTGCGTTTGGTAACACTTATATTTTCAGTTTTCTGTTTATATTTACAAAAATTTTAAAAACTGAAATAAAAACTTGTTTGATAAATTTTTGATTTATAAATTAGTGGTCTTAGTTTATAAATTTGGCAAAAAAAATGTAAACTCAAAAAATGTGTTTCCGTTTTGAATTTTGAGTTTTTTTTTTTTTTTTCCACCCAACACTAGCCACCACTCGCCACCATTTTCCACCACCCCCACCCACCACCACCACCCACCCCATCACCCACCCGCCACCTACTTGTCACCACCACCAACCACCACCACCACTCACTCGCTACCACCCACCACCCGCCACCATCACCCACCTTGTAACCACCACCACCACCACCATCCACTCGCTACCATTTTCCACCACCGTCTTCCGCCACCACCACCCACCC